CTATACATAAAGGTACAAATGTCATTCTTAACATCGCTGCACTTATGACCTAATTACCTCCCAAAAGCCCTACTCAAAGTACCATCTCTTTGGGTATTAGGAATTGAACCACAACCTAGCTAGTAATTGGTAAAACAAGAATCCAGACAGATTGACTCCAGAGAAGTTGCTTTATTCATTTTAATTTTTTTTATTCTTTAATCTATTAAGGTTTCAAAAAATGTATGTAATTTATATACAATTCAAAATAACAATGAGAAAAAACCCTCCAAATATCAAAATTAGCACCCATGTACCTGTATAAGAATTATAATAATGCCAAGACTTAGAAAGTGCCTGTTTGTTTCCATCAATGCATGTTTTGTTCCCATTTAAAAATCCTATATTCTGAATTTTAAATAATTATGTGTTCTTCATAGTTGCCTAAGTTATGCTTATGTTCTTATATAATATTCTGTTTAGTTTGGTACATCTGCATCATCTGTGTCCTTACTGCTTTTCAATAATTATGGTATTGAACTTATTTTATGCAAATTTATTACTTACACTGCTCTACAGTATTCCACTGCATAAATACACTTTTATCTTTAAATTTAATATTGATAGACTTTCTGGTTGATCTGAAGTTTGTCACATGAATAATGTTGTTATAATCATTCTTGTATCTCTTCATGAACCTGAACAGGAGTTCCCTTTGGGTACATACACATTGAGTAATGGACTATCTCAAGCCTACCAAAAACAAAGCAGATACCGAGATGAATATAATAGACAATAGATACTAACATCAACATGACAGAGATGTTAGAATTGTCTGACAAGGATTTTAAAAGACTTCAAAAAAGGCTTTAATAAGCAATTATAAACATCGCTGAAACAAAAAAGTTTTAGCAAAGAGCTATGAAATTTCAATAAAGAAAGAGAAGATATAAGCACCAACAGAAATTTTAGATTAAATTAAAGATGATAATTGAAAAAAACACTTATTGGATGGACTCAACACCAGAATGAAGGAAACTAGCATACAGAACAGTAGAAATTATTTAATCTGAGCAATGAAGATAAAATAAACTGTAACGAAATGGACAGAGCCTAGGAACTTCTAGAAAATAACAAAATATCTAATATTTGTGTCATTTAAATCCCAAGAAGAAAGAAGAAAGGTGAAACTGAGATGAAATAATGGCTGAAAACTGGAAGATATAAACTAAAGGAATTTAAAGAGCCAAATAAGTTTCAAACAATACAAACCCCCCAAAATCCACACCTGTAGGCATAATAGTCAAATATCTGAAAACTAAAATCAAACAAAGTATCTTGAACATAGAAAGAAATGACGCCTTATGTACAAGACAATGCCATCTTGAATAACAGTAGATTTTTCATTAAAACTATGGAGACCAGAAAGTTGCACAATGTTTTTCATGCTAAAAAAACCTGTCAATCCAGGATCCTGTGTCTAGTGAAAATATTCTCCAGGAAAAAAATTTTTGTCAAAAGGAAGGAAGATCTCCAAACAAAAAACAATTAAAAACAGAACCTTAAGAAGATAATTAAAGTATAAAAACAAGAAACAAACATACAGATAAAAAAGACTATTATTGGATTTTCTAAATTGTATATGATTGAATCCAAAATTATGACACTATCTGGTTAGTTCTAAGTGTATGTAGAGGAAATATTTAAGACAATTAAAATGGTGGATGAAGGGAATTAAGTTTTCATCACTTTAGAAGAACTGGTAAGATGATGATACTAGCAAAGATATATAATTACTTACAGCAACCATTAAAAAGGTATACAAAGTACACTTCTAAATAATCCAAGAATCAAAGAAGTCTCATGTGAAACTTAAAATATTATCTAAATGAATTGAAAGTTAAAATACAACAATCAAAATTTGGGAAGCATAATTAAAGCCATGCCAAGAGGAAAATTTATAGCACTAGGTAAACACATCTTAAAAGAAAGTAAGTCTCAAATCAATCACTGGTTGATTTGCTAGTTCAATTTTCCACCACAAGAATCTAGAAAAAGATGAAGAAAATCCAAAGCATGCAGAAAGAAGGAACTAAGATAACAGAATGATAATAATGAAGACAGTAGAATGATGAAGAATAATAATGAAGATAGTAGAAGAAAATTCAAAGCAAAACTAATAAACATATGGAAGAACAATCTTTGTAAAACATTAATAACATTGCCAAACACTGACAACATATTTTTATCCAGCCATTTGAGATTTCAAAAGTGATCTAGCATCCCACTCTTTTATATTTTCAAGCTGTTCTGCAACATATTTCCTATCAATCAAGAGATTTTATAATCATTTAAAAATCAGCTCTATCTTTTCTCTGAAATATTTTATTTGCATATACTATAATTAGAGTTTTAAAGGTTCATCTTACACTTTTTATATACTTAAATTTTAAAAGTCAATTTAATCAGCTATGGAATAATTTTAAGATAACTAAATGAAATATAATGTATAACTTACAACATTTGCTTTAGAATATACTTCCAGTACATAAACAATAATTCAGGTAAATTATTCTTTGAAATATTTATCATTTCAGTTATTTGTTATCACATATGAACATAAAGAGCATAAGGCAGTAATTTTTATTATCTGGTTTTTTTATTATGTTGTGTGAGAGGATAAGAAACTGTCACAGAATTAGTAAAATTAAACTGAAAAAAATGTGATAAAAATTATGCCCAGTGAAAGATGGAAATGCTGTATATCTCAAAAGAGGCAGGATTACATGGATGGATTCATTTGTTAAAATGATACAGTTTAGGTTTAGTGCCTTTTATTTTATATAACATTACCCTTTAAAAAAGAAAACAAAAGTAAACATTTGGTGGAGGAAAAGAGTAGAAGTTATAGATGAAATATGACAATGTGAAACTGGGTGATATGTTCGTGGACTTTTATTGTATTGACTTAGTATATGTCAGACATTTTTCATAATGAAAACTGATGATTCCTTGTGACAATATACTTATGATAGCAAAGTAAATTCAATTCTACTCAAGCAAATCAAATAAAAGCAAATGGGAACAAAACATAAAAGCATTCTACTATAGGAAACAAATACAATCCACTTTCTATACAAAGGGAGTTTCCTGACATACTCAACTGACATATTTTGGGGGAACTTTCAGATATTACCTTCTTTTTATCTTTTATAATTACCAATGTTTTTGAAGGCATTTTCTTCACCAAATTGCTTTAGACATATACTGTACTATTGATAAAATTTACTTTAAAATGAGGACTAAGTCAACAAGCTGTATTTGAGGGTGACTGGTGATGCTTCACAGTAAATAAAAGAATCTCAAAGACAAGGATGCTATTAAATTGGGATCATAATTTAGAATGCCCATTCAGAAGGAAGCAGTTAAATGAGCTGGAAATCGCCTTGTTCCAGAGAATAAACCAAGACCACCCAAGCAGATCTTGATTGTTGGATTTATTTCAATTCATTTTATTATTAATATCCTTAAGGGACAATCCACTCTCAGTAATATTTACCAAGAAAACTCTGGAGGCAAGTGACATTAATATGTGACTTCATATGTGACTTCAGGCTGTGTAGATGTTATTTTCATGTATAAGATGATGTCATATTTTCAGAGTTTAGATTTTATGTAGCTTTATTTGTCTTACTTAGAATTGAATTTTTTTAAAAAATCTTTATTTTAATCTTACATCATCCTGGCTCTTATGTAAAGTAAATTTTTCTTGAGCTCAATTGATTTCACCTTTAAATAAATATGAAGTCTATCCAAAGTGAATAATTTTTAACATATTTTGCTTTTGGGGGGGTGGGGAGTACCAGGGATCGAACTCATGTTCTTGTGCTTGTGAGGCAGGCAGTGGAGCCACTGAGCTAAATCCCTGGACCCCATATTTTGCTTTGTGTAATGCATTTACCCAGATTTTTTTAGAATGTTTAGTCATGCAGTTTTCCAGTTTATCTGAGCAGAAACTGGTGAGGCTGAAACACATATAACCATGATATTCTATCATTAAATTACATGGTATTCACCAAAATTAAGTCACCTTTTCACATCACCTTATTTGGCATGTAACTTTAAGACAGAGTGTCCTCTTTGCTGTGAGAGGATGGTGAAGGTGTTCATGAATATTTTTAGGCACTGATTCATGTGTTTTACAAGATGGTGATATATTTGATCTTTGATAAACATAATTTGACCAAAACCAAAAATATAATTTGACTGAAAACTATACTTCCTATTGTAAAAGTTTATATTATTGTGGGGATTTGTATATTGTTCTACTTTAATTTCCAGAAATAAAAGCTATATGGAACAAACAAATTATAAAAGATGCACAAGCCTCTTAAAACCATGGAAAATTCTTGCAAGCACAAGGTCCTGAGTTCAAAACAAGAGTCTATCCATTTAGAAACTATGTAAACTCCTTAAATGCTTATGACAAATAAATCATTGTTCCTAGCTCCTCTTTTATTTGTTTTGATGTTTCTATTGTAAGTATCATCAGGCTTCGATTTTCCTTCCAATAACCTAATTATTCCTTTACTGTGCAGAGTTAACCATATAATAAAGTAAGGCTATTGTTCATGCCATCTGAGTCATGTAATTTAAAAATTTGTTGTTTATTTTGCCATTATGTAGTTGAGCAACTTCTATATTTTGTATAATTTGTTGATGTGTTTGTTGGAACAATTAAATAGTGTGTCCCTGGGGAATTCAAATTTACACTGCTCATCAAAGATAAATCCCACTTCTAAAAAATCAGAGTTGATTATAGGAAGTTTACATTACCTGAAAGGGTAATTCTTAAGGATTAATATGCAAGGAGAAAAACTGTTCTATAGATTCCCTCTTAGCATCATCAAGCAATTTGATTCAAGATCTAAAAGAACTCGGGAACTGACTTAAAAACAAAAAATAGATACACACAAAAGTAAGACTCCTAAGCAATTCTTTATGCATATGATTCACACATTCAGTTTGAGAAACATTGGCTGTACCTGAAAGTCCTTATAAGCACAGATTTCAGAAATGATATTAACCTAGAAACACCTCATAAAGTTATTAATTTGAACGCGTGGTGGCGGTGCAGGCTAAAAGAATCAGTAAATGCTAAGCAGATCCACTGGACTCCATTTTACCCAGAAGCCAAAGTGATAATACGGAACATATTTACAGCTAAAGCTAACACAGAAGTGTTCTGGAAGGCAGTAATCACCACAGAAGTTATAAGAGCGAATTTTTAAAAATCACATTTGAAAGGGTCAGCTGCGGACCTGGTGCTTGGGAGCTGAAAAGGATTTCCCCTCTGGAATCAGATATAACAATAGAGATGGTGCCAACAAAAGTACAGCATAAAAAAAGGCAAGTGGCTATCTTCATTATATTGATGTTTTTGTGGGAGACGGATGCAAAATCCATTCAGTATTCCATAATGGAGGAGACAGAAACCGGTACATTTGTAGCCAACTTGTCAAAGGATCTGGGACTCAGAGTGGGAGAGCTTGCTCAGCGGGGAGCCCAGGTTATTTTCAAGGGGAACAGACAGCATTTGCAGCTTGATCCACAGACCCGTGATTTGCTGCTGCTAAATGAAAAGCTGGACCGAGAGGAGCTGTGTGACTCTGCTGAGCAATGTGTGCTGCCTTTCCAGGTGTTACTGGAAAAGCCCTTACAGTTTTTTCAGGCTGCCTTGCAAGTCAGAGATATAAATGATCATGCTCCGGAGTTTCCTGCCAGAGAAATGCTTCTTAAGATATCTGAAATGACAACGCCAGGAAAAATATTTCCTTTGAAAATGGCACAGGATTTAGATGCTGGCAGCAACAGCCTTCAGAGCTACACAGTCAGCTCCAATCCTCACTTCCACGTTCTCACCCGGACTCGCAGTGATGGCAAGAAATTCCCGGAGCTGGTGCTGGATAAAGCATTAGACCGCGAAGAGCAGCACCAACTCAGATTAACCATTACCGCGTTGGATGGCGGGGCTCCGCCGCGGACAGGTACCTCAGAGATTCAGATACTGGTTTTGGATAGCAATGACAATGCCCCCGAATTTGCTTATCAGCTTTATGAGGCTATGGTCCCTGAAAACAGCCCTCTTGGCTCTCTAGTTATTACTGTCTCAGCCATTGATTTAGACGAAGGATCCTTTGGGATGGTATCTTACGCATTATTTCAAGACGATGACGTTAATCAAACCTTCAAAATAAATGCACTCACCGGAGAAATACGAGTGAGGGACACTTTGGATTTTGAGAAATTTCAGTCCTATCACTTGGATGTTGAAGCTACTGATGGCGGTGGATTAACAGGAAAATGCTCTTTAATCATTAAGGTCCTGGATGTCAATGACAACTCGCCTGAACTGACCATGTCCTCACTCAATAGTCACATCCCTGAAAACTTGCCAGGGATCATAGTAGCAGTTTTTAGTGTTTCAGATGCAGATTCTGGGTATAACCAACAGGTTATTTGTTCCATAGATGACAACATCCCTTTTCTTCTAAGACCATCTGTGGAGAATTTCTACACTCTGGTAACAGATGGACCACTGGACAGAGAAAAGAAGTCAGAGTACAACATCACCATCACGGTCACCGATTTGGGCACACCCAGGCTGAGAACCCAGCACAACCTAACCGTGCAGGTCTCCGACGTCAACGACAACGCCCCGACCTTCACCCAGGCCTCCTACACCCTGCTGGTCCCCGAGAACAGCAGCCCCGCCCTGCACATCGGCACCGTCAGCGCCACGGACAGAGACTCGGGCGCCAACGCCCAGCTCACCTACTCGCTGCTGCCGCCCCGAGACCCGCAGCCCGGC